TTCTTTTAAACAAAAATGAAATAATAATAAAATAATGAAATTAAAATCAACAACAATGGAACATTTTCACACAATTATCACAAAAATATTTAAGTAAGTTAAATCACAACCTAGAACGAACGATGCACATATATTTATATTTTTTGAATTTTCTTTTAACGACACATATTTTTTGTATTTTGTTTGATAATGACTAGATGCGAAATGGACAGACCTACAAATGACTAATAACACATGTCACGGAAAAATCGAAAAATTGTACAGCGGAGTCATTTGTCATTATTTTCTTTCTTTTGGAGCGATTGTCCGCGAAGCAAAAATCACGTGCTTACAATTTCTACTATATGTCTGTGTTTCCTCTCAGAAACTCCATTATGCTCAGGTGTGTGAGGACATGATATATGTCTAACAATTCCATAGTTTTAATAGGTGTTCAACAAATGTAGTACTGTTAAATTTACCACCTCCATCACATAAAAAATCTTAATAGTCTTTGTGACTTATTTCTCGACTATCTTTTGAAACTTAACAAAGGTGTCATAGAATTCAGATTTCCTTCTTAGTGGATAGAGCTAGGTATATCTTGTACAGTCATCAATAGACACCACATAGTATTTCATATGTTGAGATGATTTAACAGGTGTTGGACCCCAAAAGTCACAGTGAATTTTGATCAATTGCTCTTTTTCAATCTTATTTCTCAATTTAAATGGAAGCTAGCATCCTTTCCCTAACTAACAACTAACATAGACAATAGGGAGTTTATTCCAGTACTTGACATCAATACACTTATTACTACTAAGAATCTTTAAAGACTTTAAATTAGGGAGTCCTAATCTAGCATGCCAAATACTGTCTGTATTCCTCCACTCCTTCGATGCAGATAGGGCATATAAGTTATTGTTCTCCAGTACATATAGGTCATTCTTCTTATATCTATTGGCCAGAAGTCTCCTTGAGCTCTTGCCCTTTACAACAAATCAGATTTATCAAACTCAAGTGTACACAAATTTTCATTAGCAAGCTTACTATCTGAAAACAATTTCTTTTTAATCTTAGGAACAACAAGAATTTCCTTTACATTAAGTCCAGATATTGTTGTATTGCCAATATGCGAGATGCCAAGTTTAGAGCCATCTCCAACTATTATCTTATCAGAAACATTATAAGGTTGAAGGTTTGACAAATTACCTGTTAAATTGGTTATGTGACTGCTTGCACCAGAGTCAACATACATAACTTCATCTTCAGCATGTGTATTCTGCAGGTTAACAGCAGAAAAGGCTAGTGGCACATCCTCTGTAGCCTAGTAGGACTAGTCCCACCTGTAGAAGCATTTTAAAGTTGTGTGGTTGTTTCTTCCACATATTTGATAATTTTCCTTGCCCTTTGGTTGAATTTGCAGTGTTTTGAGTATCTTGATTAATCTGGATGCTGCCTTGTCCTGCAGGTCTGAAACCTCTTTATCTTGAGGAGAAGTTTGAGTTCTCTCTTCTGTTAGAGTAACCCTCACGACCTCTTCCTCTTTGAGCAGCAAAGGCCATATTTTAGCCTTGTTGAGCCATTTCTTCTTCATCTTCTCTCATGTCAAATCCTCTAAGAGCATTGACAAACTTGTTCAAGGTGGGATATGGAGCCTTTCCCAGCATGACAATCCTAAATGTCTTGTACTTTGGACCAAATCCTCTAGCAAAGTTGATCACTTTGCTGTCCTCATCAACTGGCTTGTGTATGGATGAAAGACCATCACATATGCCTTTGAACTCCTTCATATATTCATCAAGTCTTTTGGTTCCTAGTTTGATGTTCTGCAGCTATTACTTAAGTTGAAATTCCTTGTCCTTGGTTGCCTGCAGGCTTGCTTCCTCTAGGCACTCCCACATTTCTTTGGCAATTGAACATCCTACAATGAGATACATGCTTTCCTCAGTAATTGTAGCAGAGATCCAACTCCTCAGGAACACATCTTTTTCCTCCTAGTCAGTTTTGTCATCACCTTTGTCGACAGCCTTATCAGCTCCAGCAGAGGTGGACGAACTGCTTGTGTCTGGGTTTCCTTCCTTGATCAGGTTTGTCACCTTCATTACCTGAATCAACTGGAGTATTTGTGTCCTCCAGATTAGATAGTTCGATGGTTTCAACTTAATTGGACAGGAGGCAATCAGATGATGCAAGGAAGCAAGTGATAGACACAAAGGAGTTGAGGGTGTTGTTATGGCCATATTTGATCTTGTTTCTGGTGTGAGCAGCATAACTTCAGAAAATGTTGATACCATGTAGAAAATCACAAGATTGGGAAGGAATTATGTTCAGTACTGTGTATTTTCACATACAAAGCCACAAGTGACTACAGTTATACAAGTCACAAACTAAACGAAAAACTTGGCTAAGTGATAGCCATTACAAGATGACTTAGGGGCTTACAGTTCTACTATATGCATGACTACTACATTGAGTTAACTACAAACTCTACAATGCAATCTAACCATCCTTATATCGTGTAGACTTATCCTTATTATGATCAACTTCTTCAATATGCACATTCATCTCAACATCCTCATTTCAGCTACTTTCATCTGCTGGACATGGGAGTTCTTGACGGGAGTCACATTTGATATATAGAGGTTTCCTAACCTATTGTTTTTGTAAAATTTTGATGTATGACTAGATCATTGATTAAGATATCATTACATTCACTACTTGCAAAAAAGTTGGGCGGAACTATGCTAGAGATCAACATTCAATTTGTTTAGTCACCTCAGCACACGAGGCGAAGGCAAGATTAGAACAAGGAAATTCAAAAATGGCACTCTAAAATGTAAACAATTGGGAGTTAAATATATGATCGAAAATACTTTTTAACCTACTTTTGGCACAACACTAAAATTACAATTTCTTGTGTTAATAAGATTCAACAATCAATTTATATACATGTAAAAGATTTTCACATATATGCACATTATACATTATATTTTACAACATTTCACAGTTAATTTCTTTAATATTCAGAATACACCAAATATTGGTACTAGTAAATATTCTAGAAATATTAGTTTCCTGCCCTTTGGCATTATAGTTACAACTCCACTAATACAATTAGTGATTTAGATGTATCATGCAAATTGTTCGTAATCCTATATATTCACCTACGATTGTCAAAATCTTTGCTTACGTTCAATTGAAGTTAGTTCATAGAATACGTTGGGTGAAACATAGTGGAAAATGTACATATAGTTACGACGTTATTCGTATTAACGAGTCCAATTAATTTAATCATAATAGTTTCACTATACAACATTGTTAAAAAAATTTAGGATTAATTTAAGAGGAACTTAAAGATTATGGATTCCTACAATGATCTCAAACTAAAGCTATTGAGTTCCGGTGAACTAGTGTGTAATGCTTTTAGATCCGCCTACTTAATATTTCAATGACTGTAATTATCTATTATAAAAATCTAAATTTGCCAATAATAGAATATTAACAGCAAAATATACTCATGAAAAATATACTACGCTAATAACATTTTCTTAGACTAGTGCTATGCGGTGTTTTATCGGGAAGTATTTCTCTGAGTAAATTCGTAAATAATTAAGTATTGAACTAAGTGAACTCTACAACTTTTATGGAGTGCAGGTGCCACTATATAATATTAAATTAATTTTAAAAAATGCGCACATAAAGTACCTAGTTTGGCGGAGGACAATGAGTTCATGTGCCCTATAATTTAGGCTATAAATCGCCGTTGCCCATGGGGTATAGTTACATTATATTGTAGTACTTGCATAACGAGTTTTGTGATAAAATTCTAAATAAAAAGGAAGTTAGAGTACATATCCTTTTTTTTAACAAAGTTTATATAATACTTTTACATTATCAGGTTAAACAATTATCTGGTGTATCGGTTGTACTTTTATAACAAACATGATATGATAACTTGAAAAATAAAGAAAATAAGTTAAATTACATTAACAACGTAAAATCATTTATACTATCAGTTTGTATAAATTAGACTGTTTAGCAAGCAGTGTCGAAACTAGAGCTGAATTCAGGATTTAAGCTCTGTCGATTTAACTTTTATGGTTATTAGTATTGAATCCACTATATTTTAAAGTTGCGAGTTCATATATATTACTCTTATAGTTTTAGTGAATTTTTACATATATTTGTACTCCACGTCAAAAGTATTGGATTCAAATAAACTCGTTACCGTAACATTGGATCTGCCACCGTGTACCTCAAGATACATAGTTGGTGAGAGCTTCTCAGACACACTCTTCCATTTCTTCTTTAAATTCTGAAGCAAGAAACACTTCTTCTCTTGTCTCTCAAACCCTAAACTTCTAGCAAACCTTTTAGCAATAAAGTTATACAAAACCCTAAATTCCATTTCCTCTACATGCAACCCATCAAGAAAATATATATATTTCTTGCAACACATAGCAAACAACAAACTTTATTAGCTAGCTAGGTTTTCCTCTTTTTGTGCAACTTTTCACATATTGTTTTTCGTGTACCAACTTTTTCTAAACAATTTTCTTATTTGTTTTTCTTACTAGTTTATTATATAAAAATTTGAGTTCTAGGGTTTCTGTTAGAGTTTTAAAATTCTAGGTTTTGCATCAATTATAAGTAACTTATTAAAGGACCAAAAAATTAAAGAAATGGAATTAAAAGTGAATAAAGAAGAGAGTAGTCTACCACCAGGATTCAGATTTCATCCAACAGATGAAGAGCTTATAACATATTATCTTGTGAATAAGATTTCTGATGCTAGTTTTACTGGAAGGGCTATTGCTGATGTTGATCTTAACAAATCTGAGCCATGGGATCTTCCAGGTAATATATACAAAACCTTAGCCCTTGAAATTTAGTTTCTAATATTTTTTTGTGCATTTAGCAATGAAATAGGCCTAGCTAGTCCATTTTTGGGTGCATGTACATGGTCCGAAGTGGTTCAATTGAATCCCTTTCGACAAAAAATTATACTGTATATATAGCTAGGGAAACATAAATTGTTGATGATCTACTAATATAAGGGGATTAGTCTTCCCGTGTACGTACGTAGTGTAAAAGATGGTTCAAAATTTTGCTTCGATCGTAGGTTGATTCGTATGTGTTACACTCTAATATTTATTTTTCAAATCTCCTTGTTAGAATTCATGGCTTCACACTACTAAATAGACCAAATAGGGTGATCACCCCTAGAAAAATGTATGTCATGTCTATGAGAAATTTCCAGAGAAATGATGGGCATAAAAGAACAAGTTTAGATCTTTCCCTCCATTTTATAGTTTTTTGTTTTTACTTTCATTTTGGATAATAAAAGGGTTTCAAGTTACTCTTTTGATGTGGTTTATTTGATTAATCTTTTCCACAATTAAATCCCCAAGTATACAATCAAAAATTTTAAAACATATTTCCTTGACAAGATCTATAGGAAAATCTTCCCGTAAACTTGTTTGGGTTTTTTTTCGAGGGGTTATTTATTACGGATTTATGTGTAGTTTTATTTTAATGTTTTATAACAATAAAAAGAGTTAAAAAGTTTCCTTCTTCTCTTTTCTTCTTCAAACCCAAACGTTTAGTGAACACCAAATTAGGCTATTATCATTATTCTTGTACTACCGATTGAGCTTTCTTAATAAGTTATCAACAAATTAACTCTCACGTTTCTCGTCGAAAATTCTGATGTAACTTAATATCCATTATAAAAGAGTTACTACACTATCAGGTCATCGAAAATATAACTACATGTAAATTACCCATAATAAATGAGATTAGTAATCTAAAAAATAAAAAAATTAACCTACTATAAAATGTTAAAATACACTCATGGTGTAACCTTTTTTTATGTGCATACTTCCTCTGTTTCAATTTAGATGTCACATTTCGCTTATCAAGAATTTTGACTAAATTATGAAGCTAAATTAGATTAGTTCAACTTAGTATTTTAAAATTAAAATTTAGATATTCAAAAACTATATGAAAAGTACTGTAAGTTGTACTTGTTTCCCACGTCAACATGATAAAAAATATATTTTAAAATATTGGTCAAATTTCACATAGTTTAACTCTCGATAAGCGAAATATGTTATATAAATTGAAACGGAGAAAGTATAAGTTAAATGCAATATTTTTAACTCCATAATTTTCATGTGAAAATTACAGGTAAGGCAAAAATGGAAGGAAAAGAATGGTATTTCTTCAGCCTTCGTGATAGGAAATACCCAACTGGAGTTAGAACAAATAGAGCTACAAATACTGGATATTGGAAAACTACTGGCAAAGATAAGGAGATATTCAATAGTAAAACTTCAGAATTGGTTGGCATGAAAAAAACATTGGTTTTCTATAAAGGAAGAGCTCCAAGAGGAGAGAAATCAAATTGGGTGANAAAACTCTAATTAGGTTTGTGTTTAAGTTCTATAAACCTATACTGTAAAAAGGACAATTAATACTTAATATGCTACCTCAGGATAAACTACACCAATAGTGTAAATTATTACATTATAATATAAATTCATTAGAACTATATCCTTTTATTCTGTTACATCTATTAATTTGGTCTGTGTTAAAGTGTCCATGTGTTATCCCCCTATATGTTTGATATTTGAACTTTTATTTTGGTGCAGTGGTTTTCTTGAGGAATTGGAATCCCTTGGAATCAAATAATCAACTAAGTCACTTTAAGTTGTTTCCAAATTTTTATTCATTAAAAGTTCGTTAAATCTTAAACAAAATCTACATTGAAAAAATAGATTGCTTTTCCAAATATATACATTTTGGAAAGTATAAAATAAATATGCAACAAAAGGACTTACATTTAGAAAACATTTCAATAAGAAACCTTTTTTACGCTATTATTTTGACTTGTTATAGCTAGTTACCTGCTTTATTTTTCAGGGAATTATTTCCATTTATTATAAACGATTACAATGTTATTATCTTTTTGCATGATGACCTGATCGTATAAAAATCTTTTTACACTGTCAGCAAGACGAATGGGTGGTTTGCCGAATTTTCCAGAAGAGTGCAGGAATGAAGAAGTACCCTACTAACCATTCAAGGACAATAGTTAATCCCTACTCTTTGGAGATTAATCAAAATGCAATATCCTCACAAATGATGATGCAACCTGATCATGGCTTTCAATTTGCAATGGGAAGAAATTACATAAACCATGCATCTAATTATATGAACAACTTTCCAATTCAACACCAAATGAATTACAATATAGGAGGTAGTAGCAGTGGTGGCGGAGGAGGAGGAGGAGATAATTTTTTTACTATTTCAGGCTTAAACTTGAATCTTGGTGGTGGTGCCGCCGCCTCGTCTCAGCCAGTTTTAAGGCCAATGCCGCCACCGCCGCCACCACCACAAGTTATGAATATTCAACATGAAGTGACTTCTTCTATGTTGGATAATTGTGCAATTACAAGTGAGGCAGGTTATGGGGCAGAAATGAATAGTGCACATTATTGTGCTGATTTGGACAACTATTGGGCTACTTATTGATCAATAAGGAAGAGGAGTTGTCAAATTGTAATGTGTTAAATTATGTTGTTTAGTATTTGTGTTAGGAACTAAGTACTTTTTTCTACTTAATTAGGAAACAAAGTTGTTACTATATGTTTATTGAGGAGTGTTAGTAGTACACATGGCAAAGCCATCTTGCTAGAGTCTGAATGAATGACTTCAAATTTGTAGCTTTTGTAGCTTTCTTGCATAACCTTTATATTGTAAGAATTGAAATTAGTAGTTCTTGGCCTATATTCGCACTTAAACATTATATGGTCGTGTGGAGAGCTACTGAAAGATTGTATGGCACGATAAAGTTTTGCGACTATACCATTCTTGGCGACGGTGATCGCCGACGAGATGATGAACGCCCCTTAGCAAATATATAGTTTCAGCGTACAACAACTATATTCGAAAAAAAATCTCCCTTTTGAAATATTATTTATTATAATTCATATTTTAGAGTTTGCCAAATCATTTTGGAGCGACGAAGTTACCAGGAATTCTCTCTAGTGTCTGCTAAGATGCTCCAGTCTTTGCTTGACGCTATGATGTGAATAACCCCCTCCCCGCTCCCCCCTCCCGATTTTCTCAATGATTAGAGATGTTACTGGCACTATAACTCTGTCTTTAACATATCAATTAAAGGGTATTTCTTATCATGGTGCGCGATAGAGAATGGGAATGGAAGAAATGAGAAGGATATTATGGTATGTTTTATGCACAAAATAAGTAGTATCATTTGTCATATTTCCTTTCTTCCAAATCATTCATCCAAAAAATGGCAACTCAGATAAGCAATTAAGTTGACATCTATGTTATTTTTGAAGGTTAAGATGTTTTCTTTTGACATCAGTTATAATCTTAAAGTAGAATTTTTCACCAGTTTCTCAAACTTTTGTCTCTCGCTGCACTAAAATAATTCACTTCAAGGTTCTATATAAAGAGTAATGAACGTCCTAATTGAATAATTGATAATTAAATGCACTTGACGGTGTGATGACCCGATAGGTAGTCTAGAGTTTTAGACCTTAATTCAGTGTTCCAAAGCCTCCAAGAGCTTCTTTAAACCTTGCTCGATTTACGTGTGCAGCCCGTGTATTTTTCTGAAAGGTTTTTATATTAAAAATTGATAAAATATGAAATTTTGCCTTAAAAATTTATTTGGGATGACTTCGATCAACGTTTTGAGTAAACGGACTTGGATCCATATTTTGACGGTCCCGACAGGTCCGTATCGTGATTTGGGACTTGAACGTATGCCCGGAATTGAATTCGGAGGTCCTAGCTTGAGTTATCGCTTTCTGTCGAAATTTAAAAGTTTAAAGGTTTAATGACTTTAAAGGTTTGACCAATGTTTGACTTTGTTGATATCGGGTCCGTATTTTGGTTTTAAAATTTGGTATAGGTCCATTTCTATGTTTATGACTTGTCTGTCAAATTTGGTGAAAAACGGAGATAGTTTGATGTGATTCGGACATCTGTTTGTTAAAATAGAAGTTCTACAGTTTTCTTAAAAATTTCATTTGATTTGGTGTCTAATTCATAGTTCTTGGTGTTATTTTGGCGATTTGATCGCGCGAGCAAGTTGTATGATATTTTTGAATTTGTGTGCATATTTGGTTTAGAGCCCCGAGGGCTCAGGTGAGTTTCGGATAGGCCACAGAGTGAGTTTGGACTTAAAAAGTGGTGTTCTTTAGTTCTGATGCAAGCCTCATACCTCGCAATTGCGAGGTCAGGCTTCACAATTGCGATGAGTCAGGCTCACTGGCAGGTTCACAATTGCGAAGAATAGCTGGGCATCACAGGTTTGCATTTCCGAACAATTACTTCGCAATTGCAAAGTGGGACTGGGGGAAACTTGTTCGCATTTGAGATCAATTGGGTCGCATTTGCGGTATGGCCCAGTTCGCATTTGCGAACAAGTCATCGCAAATCCGATGATAGCAGAAATGTTGGGACTTCACATTTGCGAAGAAAATCGCGCATTTGCGGGGTTCGCAAATTGCGAACCCTAGGTCACAATTGCGATATCTGCGCTTGATCAAAAGCTGAGTTAGACGAAAATTTTCTCATTCTTTCAGACTTTCAAACCTATAGAACTCTAGAGGCGATTTCTCTAAGAGCCCTTTCTTCCCGAATTCATTGGTAAGTGATTCTAACCTATTTTCTTTCAATCTTTCATTACATTTCATAAGATTTCAACCTAAAATCTAGGATTTTCATGGTGAAAATTGGGAGTTTGGGTAGAATTAGGGATTTTTGTAAAATTAAAATTTAGTCCTCAAATTGAGGTCGGATGTCGAATCAAATTAAATAACCGGGCTCGGGGGTGAATGGGTAATTGGGTTTTGGTTCGAATTTCGAGTTTGGACCAAGCGGATATGGGAGTTGACTTTTTCAATAATGGCCTAAATTGAATCTTTTGCAATCGTGGGTAGTTCCTAAGGCTTATGTTGAATCATTTGATTGATAATTTGCTAGATTTTATTGGTTCGGAGGCTTGTTCGAAAGGCAAAGATGTGGTTGAGCTTTGAGTTGATTTTTGGAGCAAGGTAAGTGTCTTTGGTTAACCTTGACTTGAACAATTAGGACTTGTTTACCTATTTGCTACTTGTTTAAATGCCGAGTACAACGTATATACGTGTTGACAAGTACTTATGCGTTGTTGTGTTAAAGCATGTGGGTGGGACTTCTTTCTCGTAATTTATTTTTCTCTTTGATCATGATATCCATGCTTAGACTAGTTATTATTAAATTGATCCTTATTTCCGCATTTATGGGCTATCTGTGATAATTGAGAATTGTTTCTGAAGTTGAGGTTGGTATTTGTGAAACTATTGTTGACATAAGACTTGTTCTTGCTGATTCTATCTCCATATTGTTATATATTTATTGTTACATGATAAGGGAGAGAGTTAAAGTACGAAGGGTGATGTTGTGCCGTATTTGAAAGTTAAAGCACGAAGGGTGATGCCGTGCCGTATCTATTGTTTCATGATGAAATTGAGAGTAAAATCACGAAGGGTGATGTCGTGCCATATTTATCATTTTATGGAGAGATTGAGAGTAAAAGCACGAAGGGTGATGTCGTGCAGTTTCATTCATTATATTATTCGTTTTATTGACCGCTTCTTGTTATCATTCCCTGTTGCAGTTACCGTATTTTGTACCACTTTCGCAAGTCCCCTCCAATAGTACATGTTTAGCCTTTATTTGTTGTTATGTGGTACACATATTGTTATCTGTACAGGTTTAATTATGTGGGTGTCTTGTCATAGCTTCATCACTGCCTTGTCGAGGTTAGGCTCGATACTTATGGAATACATTGGGTCGGTTGTACTCATACTACACTCTGCACTTCTTGTGCAGATTTTGGTACTGGTCCCAGCTGTCCTTGAGGTGCATCATCTCAGATCAGCTTACTTGGAGACTCGAGGTAGATCTGTTGGCGTCCACAGACCTTGAAATCCCTTTCCATTTCCCCTATTTACTGCTCTTTTCATTCGAGATAGTTGTACTTATTTCAAACCTCATTTGTAGAGACTCTAGAAGCTCATGTACTTTTGACTTCAGATCTGGGTTGTACTTAGGTATTGTTGGTTATTATGCCACTTCGTATTTTGTTTTATTTCCATTTCAGTTGACTGGTTTTACTTATCGAATTGATTAAAATTGGTTTAAGGATTCTCTAACGTTGGCTTGCCTAGCAAGTGAAATGTTAGGAGTCATCACAATCTCAAAAGTGAAAATTCCGAGTCGTGACAGACGGATCAATGTCTAGGTACAATACCATAAGAACAACTCTAATTCTTTTCGGTTAACTACAACTTTGATGGTAGAATCGTGCTCTGAGCGAAAAATAATGTAGTGAATTCAGAATTTACCCGCAATTATCAAAACTGCCCTTATGAGCTTAAGGAATCATATTAAATATGGATATAAATTTTAAACAAACCAAATAAAAAAAAGTTCATTATTAAGTATAAAACTGGATTATGCCCTCTGTCCTTAACTGTGTTATCAGATGAGACTGCGAGGCCAACACGGGGCAATAAAAGTGGGGATGTTGAGAGTGGGATTTGAACCCACGCCCTTTCGGACCAGAACCTTAATCTGGCGCCTTAGACCAACTCGGCCATCTCAACATCTGTTACTGTAGATGTTACATTTTTAAATTATCATAATGTACAATCCTTATAATCTGATAATCTGGTATTATCATAAGTACTTTTTTTTTTTTAACAATATCATTTTTATAAGAACAACGTAAAATAAAAAAATGTGTATAATTAAAATGATAAAGTTGAAAAAGAATTATGCTAAAGAGAAGGTTTTCAGTTTTTCACATCTCTAGGTAAAATTGAATCTGAAATCTTTATGTCTTAACTTATTATGATTTTTTTCTTCTCATCAAACTTATCATTGTTCAACTGTTAATGAAAATGGTCCAGTTGAATCAAGCAGTTTTCTTAATGTAAATGTAACGTCTCATGTGATAAATTTTATCTAGAAATATATCAGGAGCTTTAAAAGGATAAAACTGGTTCTTGCTATTGCGAACTAAAAGCAAAATTTTGGTCCCAATAAAGTAAAAAACATATATAATCTCGAAGAAGGAAAGTGTAGTAAACTTTAGTAGAATTAAAAGACAGTATAATTTTTTTTTTCCTACTCGTTCGCTGTAATTTGACTAGCTTCGACAAATTACTCAATAAGTGAATCACACGCGATATGTAAGCGTGATTCTTGACTTATGCATCTAGCTAGCAAAAAACAGACATATATCTGGCTCGTTAAACATTAGAGAAGAAAAACTCCTAGCTAAGACATCTGGAACCTATGTTACGCAGATTTTTCAAAATGTACGTATTCGTGTCGGATCTTTAAAAAATACCTTATTTTTGGAGGATCCGACAGGCACCAAACTACCTTTTTGAAGAGTCCAAGCAATATAGTCTCGAATTGTAAAACTATCCTTTCGACTTGTAATATCCAATAAAATAAACCTGTTTAATTAATATGCTGATCAAACTATATGATCTAATATGATGAGAACCAATTTTCTTTTTCTAAGAGTGGCATAAAGAAGGGGTGCTTTGGCTAAATTGATAAAGTTGTTGCCATGTGACTCGGAGGTCATATCTTCGGACCGTGAAAACAACCTCTTGCTTAAATGTAGAGTAAGGCTGCGTAAAATAAACCTTTATGATCCGATCCTTCGCGGAACCCTGTGTATAGCGGGAGCTTAGTGCACCGTACTGCCCTTGAGCAGCATAAAATCGTAAGTTCACATTCAGAGTGAAGGAAAATCTTGCAAGCAGTGGTCATATAATATGGAGGAAAAGGGACAGTACATGGTGTCTCTTGTCAAATGGTTGGTAGGTGGGGAAAATGTTTTGCTTATTAATCACTACAAGTTATTACTTTATGATTAGCCAAATCAATATTTAAGTGCATTTTTAATGAATTGAGTGAGCTTATTTGAGGTTTTTGCTCATACATCAGTTATTTTAGTAAACCTTTACATTCTGCTTCCTTGCATGTGTTACTTGGAGAGTAGATGAAAAGCAGAAAGTTGTAAATAGTTTTCCTTTTCTCTTATTTGATATGCAAGGTTGAAAAGAAGAGAATAAGAAACTAAACCAAATAATAATAATAATAATTTTTATTTGGAACTCGTCTTTTACATGAGTTGAGCTTAAATAAAAAAAGTAAAAATTTCATATAGCAGATCCCTATGAAAATAATAATATTCTTTTTTTGTTGGCTGGCGCCATTGCCGGGACTTAACGGTGTTATCAAGAAATACAAAAAATTCTTAGTGTAGTCAGTTTTCTCTATTTTCAGTCCATACACTGAAATTTTAACGTTTGTTGACTTGGTTGCACAGGTGCATGCCTAAAAACTCATAGAGAACTGGTGAAGTGTTTGAAGCATTATCAGATCCCGAGAAAGTTTTCAAGGCCTTGAATCGGGCCAACCGGAAAAACAAACAACAATAATCAACTCAACAACCTGAACCAGACATGGCAGAGCAGGTAAACAACAGAGACAACAACGGGGATAACGTGTGGTAGACCCAGCTGCGCAGGTAGTGGCGCCTCTAGTGCCAGAGGCTCCTCTATATGACGGGGCGCAACCCACAACAGAGAATTTGGCCACAACGATATTAGTCCCGCAGATACATGCCGGATCTTTTCAAATCACAAACAACATGATGCACTTGTTGCAAAATAAGAGACTATTTTCGAGGTCGTACATTGAAGATCCTCAACAGTACTTGAAGAATTTTTTGTCAATCTGCAAAACTCAAAGGCAACTCAACGTAACTCAGGAAGCAATAAAGCTGTTGTTGTTTCCATTCTCAGTGACAGGAGCTGCCCAGACTTGGCTAAATTCACTTCCCATTAATTCCATCATGACTAAGGAGGAGTTAGTCAAGCAGTTTGTGAATAAGTTTCATCCACCCAACAAGACTGCTCAGCAAATTGATGAAATTTTAAGCTTCAGACAGAAACCAATGGAAACGCTGAAAGAAACATGAGAACGATTCAAAGTGATGTTGGTTATATGTCCGCACCATGGTATTACAGATCAGATGTTGGGGTAGCAGTTTTACATGGGTATGACAGATAGCGTGAAGGCTAATGTTGATGCTTCAGCGGGTGGAGCATTCTTGAGCAAAACATGGAGAGAAAGCCAGAGCCTGCTTGACAAGATGGCACAGAATTCGGGGGGGGACAACCAGGAATGCACCTATCACTCCAGTAGTTCACTCAGTGTCCTTAGATCCATCCAACATTGTTGCTGAAAATATGGCCACCTTAATGACACAAATGAGCATACTCACCAAAAAGGTGGAAGAGTCATGACAGAAGCAGCAGGTGCACATCGTAGATACAACCAATAGGGGCTTATGCACATCTTGCATTAGTCAGCCAATTGGTAGCCAGTAGAATGCAGAAAGTGATCATCATCATTATCCTAAGGACATGAATTATGTGTCTAATTATGGGGGCCAGAGATAGGGTGGTCAGAATTGGGGCCTATAGAATCAGCCATACAGGCTAGTCCAGCCATAACACAACAATGGAAATATGGGAGGCATGTGACCTCACAATAATGTGACGCCCTACCAAAGACCACATGGATACAACAATCAAAATCAACAGTAGGGGTTATTATCCTTCTCAGCAGCAACATGGTGGGAGACAGGAAGACGGGTTTGCTAGACTCGAGGCAATGTTGCAGCAGGTTATTGGGTCGAATGAGAAAATGAGTGAAAGAGTAGATGCACATGATTCAGCTATAAAGAATATTGAAGTACAAATGGGCCAGATTTCGATGTCTTTAAATAATCGTCCTCATAGGACATTGCCAGCAGACACTCAGGTAAATCCAAAAGATCAAGGCCCGAAGCAGCTGATAGCAGTGAGTTTACGTAATGGTAGAGAATTAGACTTGGAGCAAGAGAGGGCTCGAGAAAGCAGACAGGCTGAGACACTTGTACTAGTGCCCATTGAGCTAGATGATTCAACGAAACTAACAAGGTGACAGTACAGCCTGCTGAGGAAGAAACCAACATGCAGATTGAGGCTGAGAAAGAAGCTAAGACAGCCCAGGAACCGGTAATTAAGGTGGTGTCTGACAAAGAGAAAACCCAAATCATTGGGAAGAAGAGACCTCCAGCACCATTCCCATAGAGGCTGGCCAAATACCAGAAAGATAAACAATACAAGAAATTTTTGGAGATGCTGAAACAAATCTAGGTAAATATTCCATTGATTGATGCTTTAAAAGAGATGCCTGGTTATGCTAAAATGATGAAGGACTTGATGTCCCGAAAATTCGACTTCCAAGATTTGGCCACAATGACTCTAACTCAGACCTGCAGAGTTGTGGAGATTAGACCAGTAGCTGAGAAGTTGTCTGATCCAGGGAGTTTCACAATTCCCTGCACCATTGTTAACTTTGCCTTTGCCAAGGCACTTTGTGATTTGGAGGCTAGCATAAATCTTATGCCCCTGGCGATTTATAAAAGGTTGGGGATTGGAAGAGATAGACCCATGTCTATGTTGTTGCAGCTGGCTGATAAAACTGTGAAAAGACCCTCTGGTATTTTGGATGACGTGTTGATACAAGTAGGGAAATTTGTGTTCCCTGCAGATTTTGTGATTCTAGATTGTAAGGTTGATGAAGAAATTCCCATAATTTTGGGAAGGCCGTTCTTGGCCACAGGGAGAGCTCTCATTGAATGTGAAACCGGGAAGCTCAAGATGAGGTTGAATAATGAGGTTATAACATTCAACGTGCAGAAATTTATGAGGCAACCAAGTGAATTCACCAATTGTTCTCTTATTGATGTCGTGGATGTAATCGTGGAAGAGGATGATGAGACATTGACTATTGAAGATCCTCTTGCTGCATGTCTTGTGAATTTAGATAAGGTGAACATGGAAGAATTAACAGAATGGGTGCTGGCTCTAGAGTGCAGAGGGTTTTGGGAGAGAACACTTGAATTCGAGCCCCTACACTTAGGAAACAGAGAAACTTCTCCAACCAAGCCATCCATAGAAGAACTACCAAAGTTGGAGTTGAAGCCACTGCCCGCCCATCTCAGGTATGCGTTCCTAGGACCTAAATCCACTTTACTTATTATTATCTCATCAAGTATGTTAGATGTGCAGGCACAACAGCTTTTGCAGGTACTCAAGGAGTGCAAGGCTGCCATTGGGTAGACAATGGCAGACATTAAGGGGATCAACCCGGCATATTGTATGTATAAAATTCTACTAGAAGAGGAGCACAAACCTTCCAGGGAGCACCAAAGAAGGTTAAGTGGTGAAGAAGGAGGTGATTAAGTGGTTGGATGCGGGAATCATTTTTCCCATCTCTGACAGCAACTGGGTTAGCCCGGTGCAATGTGTTCCTAAGAAGGGTGGTATGAAAGTGGTCAAAAATGATAATAATGAGTTCATCTCTACCAACACCGGCCACATTCCAAAGGTGCATGATGGCCATATTCATTGACATGGTCGAAGACATAATGGAGGTGTTCTTAGATGATTTCTCAGTAGTGGGAAACTCATTCAATGAGTGCCTTACAAATCTGACCCGAGTGTTGAAAAGATGTATTGAGACTAACCTGGTACTTAATTGGGAAAAATGTCATTTCATGGTACAAGAGGGCATAGTCTTGGGACATTGGGTATCAAGCAAGGAAATCGAGGTGGATCGTGCTAAAGTTGATGTGATAGCAAAGCTACCACCCCCACATCAGTCAAGGCAATCAGGAGCTTCCTCGGGCATGTCGGTTTCTACCGGCGATTCATAAAAAACTTCTCAAAAATTTCCAACCCTCTCTGTAAGTTGTTAGAAAAAGATCACCCTTTCATGTTTTCTGATGATTGCAGGGTAGCATTCGAGGAGTTGAAAAAGAGGCTAGTCACAGCACCCATCATTGTTATCCCCGACTGGGAGAAACCATTCGAACTCATATGTGACGTTGGTGACTATGCAGTGGGGGCAGTGCTGGGAAAGCAGAAAGACAAGCTAATGCACCTAATTTACTATGCCAGTGGAACGTTGAGTAGATCCCAGTTGAACTATACTGTGATTAAAAAGGAGATGCTGGATGTAGTGTTCGCATTCGACAAGTTCAGATCATACTTGATTGGATCTAAGGTAATTGTATATACTGATCATTATGCTCTTAGATACTTGATTGAGAAGAAGGAGTCCAAACCGCACCTGATTCGTTGGGTGTTGTTACTGCAAGAGTTCGACCTAGAGATTCATGACCGTAAGGGCACAGAAAACCAAGTCTTTAATCATCTATCGCGACTTGAAGGAGCTGAAAACTCAGTTGAGGTAGAGGATATTCTTGAAACCTTTCCAGATGAGCAGCTACTCGCCACAAGCCTTGAAGAAGTGCCATGGTATACAGACTTTGCAAATTACCTGGCAAGCGGTATAGTTCCCTATGACCTTTCCTCTGTGCAAAAGAAAACGTTTTATCGTGACTGCCACATGTATTACTGGGATGAACCTTATTTGTTTAGAATATATGTTGACAATATGATCCAAAGGTGTGTCCCTAAGATAGAAAAATCTTCTATTTTGCAGGCATGTCACGCATCGGTATATGGCGGACATTTTGGAGGAGTCAGGACGACAGCAAAAGTGCTAGAAGTCGGGTTCTACTGGCCAACAGTGTTTAAGGATGCACATCAATGGGTGAAGGGGTGTGATGAATGTTAGCGAACTGGGAACATTTCCCATCGCCATGAGATGCCCATGAACCCAATTCAAGAGGTTGAAGTGTTCGATGTATAGGGGATAGACTTCATGGGCCCCTTCGTCAGCTCTTTTGGCAATAAGTACATACTTGTTGATGTAGATTACGTGCCTAAATGGGTGTAATCTGCAGCACTTCCCATCAATGATGCAAGGGTGGTGGTGGAATTTTTGAAGAAGAATATATTCACCCGTTTTGGGACCCCGAGAGCTAATATCAGTGACGGAGGCACTCACTTCTGCAATCGAGACTTCGAGAAATTGCTAGCAAAGTATGATGTGTGCCACAAAGTGGCAACCTCATATCATCCTCAGACTAGCGGACAGGTCGAAGTGTCGAATAGAGAGAAAAAGAGTGTGTTGACCGAGACTGTCAACGCCACAAGAACTGATTGGGCAAAAAAACTAGATGATGCACCCTAGGCCTATAGAACCGCTTTCAAAACATCAATTGGTATGTCACCATATAAGTTGGTGTTCGGGAAGGCCTGTTAGTGGAACTAGAACATAGAGCTTGGTGGGCAATGAAACATCTAAATCTGGACATGGAAGTTGCGGGAACAAATAGAGTCACAGAATTGCATGAGCTAGACGAGTTCCGATTTCTTGCTTTTGAGAGCACGAGGTTGTACAAGGAAAGAATGAAGAGGTTGCACGACAAGAACATTGTTGAGCGAAATTTCAATCCCGGAGACATGGTGTTTCTTTATAACTCAAGATTAAGGCTATTTTCGGGTAAACTCAAGTCACGATAGTCTGGACCATTTCGAGTGGTCGAAGTGTTCCCTTCAGGTAATGTAGAGATTGCCTCACAGAAAGACTCTCATACATTTAGAGTCAATGGGCAAAGATTGAAACTATATGTGGGCATGGATGAATCCAAGGAAGTGTCAGCGATCCATCTGACTGAACCTTAGAGGTCGAGCGAGCCTTAAATGCGCTCATCTGAGTCGTGCCGCGACGTTAAATCAGGCACTGTGTGGGAAAACCCATGAGTTCTTTTGTTTTCTTTTCTTTTGTTTGATGTTGTACCAGATGTGTAGGAAACTAACATCCTAATAAAAAAAATCTTGCAACTGCGACCGCGGTAAATGACGAGTATTCTATTTTAGGATTGCTCGATCCACCGCGACCGCGGTGGGACCGCGACATGACTCCGGTGAAACGCAAACATTCTGTTTTACCCCCGTTACTCACCGCGGCCACGGTGATTCATGACAGGTCTTTTGCCCAAGTAAGTCACATTTTAAAAAGATTTTTTTTATTTTCTTTTCTTCTCCTCTTAAACACTCAAAATCACCCGCCCCACCCCCACTTTCCCCATTATTCTCTCTCTCTACAAGCCCTAAACTAACATCTCTCTCTCTTTCTTTATCTTCTTCTCTTCTCCAAGCCCTAACTCATTCTTCTCATACACACACACACACACACTTCAACAAGACCTCATCTTCCATCAATCTCAATTTCTACAAGCCCAGGTATGTCAAACTTCTCCTCTACCTTCTTGTGATTCTCTATTTTGCATTTTTCATGTTTGAAATGTGTAGTATTTATAATTAAATTTTGCTTTTGATTTTCTTTTCTGTTTTTAGTGGGTTATTTGCACAATGTTGTAGAGAAGAGTGTGGTTTTGTTGTGTAATTAATTGTAGTGGGGTGGAATGGTAAGTGAGAATAGTTGATTTGAGGGGATGAGTTTATGCTTCCATGGGGATAGGTGTGTTAGATTAGAGACCATACTCACAAGGTGTTTGTGAAATTGCCCCAATGGAGTTATAATGGCCAATGTGACCATGGTGGTGGTGAAGTCTGAGTAACCACCCAAGGTTCACACAACCTAAGCCCTCACTAATAGGAGCCTCTGTTTTTGGCAGGCACACTGCATCAATCCAGAAAGATATGTACCACAGGGTCCTCCGCTAGTGGACTTGGCAGTTCTTCTAGAGCTCGGGGTCAAGCTAGTGCGGAACTGTTTGACCATATTAGGTTTGTTTCCAAAACAGCTCAGGATAGGTTTAACGCCAAGGCATCCAAGAAATTGTTACCTGAAGTACATATTGACCAACAAGCCTTGCAAGCGGAATGCCCAAGTATTTTTGCAGAGTTGAGGAGGTATTAGCTGGACATCTTCTTTGATAAATCGGAGGAGGCAAATGTACTTATGGTAAAAGAGTTTTACACAAACTTCCTAAAGCATATTGATAGGGTGGTCACAGTACGAAACACCCGGGTGAATACGTCTCTTGAGGCTATCTGCCGAGTGTACCGGTTGTCGGTATTCACTGGGGATATAGATTATTACTAGGCTACTCACCGCCCAACTATCTGGTGGGCACTGATTCTTGAAGCAATATGTGTGGATGACAGGGAGCAAATATGGATAAAGCACCGAATTACACCGAACTCCCAGTCTCTCAATTGGGAAGCTAAGTTTTGGCTCACAATTATCAACAGTCGTTTATTGTCCTCCAGCAACACTACCGATGTCAATGGGCCAAGAACAACGACTATATACTGTTTTATGACCCACCATGATTTTGATGTGGTCAAGCTCCTTCATGATGAGATGTTTATTCTCTCCCCAGAAGTACTCAAAGGGTTTTGCTTCCTCTCTTTAGTTACCAAGTTATGTCGTGCTGCACGAGTTCCTGAAAATCCCATAGTAGATGGGAAATTGCAATTGAAAACCCCATTCCAGGCTAGCAAAATCACAGTTGGGAGAGAGCCGGTAGTGGTGGTCGATGATGATGATGATGATGATGAGGATGCTGAGGACGCTGCCGACCCACTGTAAGCACGTGATTTTTGCCCTATATGAGAATTACTCCCAAAAAAATCAAAAATAAAAT